ATCTTTAGAGACATTTGTCATGTTTAGAGGCTCTAGCACGTCATTTCTCGACCCGCTCTTTCATTTGAGCCCAAAAAAACATTCATATCTTGTCTGACATCTCTTTTATTATGAACTCTATTTTCAACTCTGGTTTTCAATTAGAAATTGAAGCAGAGGTTCATAGCAGAGATGTCAAGTGAGAACAAGATGTGAGTGAGAATCTATCGTGGATCCACGGTGAAATTTACCGTGTCGCTCATGAAAATCCTAACCAACAACTTTGTTTTTCCCAACATCTCCGGAATCTTTTTCGACTCATTAAATCCTGATTTTCGTTTTCTCCTCGAGTATGAGTGGCTGCGCTCCCTCTACCTCACGGTAAATTTTTTTTTGTCATTATTCCGAGGGCAAAAGGGATGTCGGAGGGCCGGTGGTTGCAGACTGTGGCTTTTTGGGTGCTTCCCCAATGGCGCAGACAGGCAGACTTCTCTCGTGTGTTAGTTTGTACGCCGGAACCGATGACGTTAGTAACCCGATATCGGCGCGGCGTTAGCATCCATGTCCCGCAGACGGCTTCCATATAGACGTTCCACCAGGGGAATAACAGTGTTGCGGGGGGAGGGGGAGGGCGGCAGGGAGGGAGGGGAGCCCTCGGTCGTGCGTTGTTGTAGGTGTTTCCATTATCCAGTTGTGCAGATATACATGGCATTTCGTAATGCGAACGCGGAATTCAATAATTTTGAATTCAATTGTCGGTCTGAGAGCATTCAAGTGCATGCGCTGATGGGGCAAAATGGACACTTTTGACTTTTTAAAAAATGTTGATAGATAAAGTAAATTTTCTACGAAATGGGTTGTTTTTTTTTCCATCCAGAGGGGAATTGGTTCCCTTTGGTATGAGTCTGGACTGACTTCAATTGATAAATTTGTTCCTGAGGTATTAAGTACATCAGGAAAAAGGCGAAAGTGTCCATTTTACCTCATCCGTCCCTACCTTTTACTATTTCGTACGGATTAGAAATATATTTTTCAATTTCACTGATCATTTTGTGAAAAAAAAAATTTTTTATTCGACATTTCTCTGAAATTCATAGAAAAATTCTGAATATGGAAATTTATGATAATTTTGAAAATTATTTTGAAGTTGAAGAACTATTTTCAAGATTTATTCATGAGCAATGCTCGTAATTTTACAAATTTTCCTCAAAAGAAAATTGCAATATTCATTTTCAGATTTTTAGGATGTTTAAAATTTGTCAACTGTCGAAAATTCAAAAAATAAAACCACGAAAAGATGAAGTACTAAGATTCAACATTTCAACATTTCTTTGAAATTTATAGAAAAATTCTGAATATGGAAAATGTATAATTTTAAAAATGATTTTGAAGTTGAAAAACTGCATTTTTATGATTTATTCATGAGCAGTGCACCCAATTTAACGAATTTTCCTCAAAAGAAAATTAAAACATTCATTTTCACATTTTTAGAATGTTTAAAATTTGTCAACTGTTGAAAATTCAAAAAATAAAATCATCAAAAGATGAAATACTAAAAATAATACAGAGAATAAATTCAATTGAGGTCAATATGATGCAGTAGAAACGATTAAATTTCATTTCCCTCCAGATAAAAACAATTAAACGAAACTAATCAGATATTTACAATCATCGAGGTCCCCAGGTCAACGATTTATTAAACAGGTGGTAAAATCCTACCCGATGCATCTAGAAACGCTGTACGAGGGGCTGATGTTGATGGAATTCCTCGATAAGTGAAATTCCACCTCAAACGACAGAATTCCAAGATCCCAGCGCCGAGATATGACATTGAATCGAAACGCGGAAGGGATTTGGGATTATTAGTGGGATTGTAGACAGCCTGACGCTTTTTTTTGTGCCCTCCCTCCCATCATTCGAGGTGACAACAATATGCCGTTTGGATTAATTCCAGTGTATATTGAATGATACGTTATTATTCCCCGGTGATGGGTAACAAGGGTAGATTCATATCCCCCGATACAACACCGAGAAATACCCCCTCGAGGGGATGAATTTGTGGTGAAGAAAACTCGGAAGTCACTTACCACTCTTCTCAATTTTCAGCTTGGCTCTTTGTTGTGTGGGAATCGAGAGGGGAGCGCGGAGATGATCTCATTACCAGTCGTGATGCCATACTGTGCCCCTGAGGACAAAAAATTTACGAAGATTTTTTTTATTTTATGTCAATTCAACTTTTTCGAGGAGATAGTGTTTCAGTAGATGTATAAAATAAAATAAATTGAAGGGTCGATTAAAAATATATGAATTTTAGCGAGTCCCAAATTCTGGAAATTATTGAAATTTTTAATTATTTCAACATTAAAATAATAACAAAATTCATTATTTTAATGTTAAAATAATTGAAAATTATTACAGCATAAAATATTATTTATCTTGTTATTATTTTAATAATTAATTATGTTAATTATTTTAAAAGAAATTTTTCCCTCAAAATGAGAAAAAATTATGAAGATTTTTTAAATTTTATACGAATTCAACTTTTTCTTGGGGATAATGTTTCATCAGATATACAAAATAAAAAAAATTGAAGGGTCGATTGAAAATATATGAATTTTAGCGAGTAAAAAATCCTTGAAATTAATAACATTTTGAATTATTTCAAAGAAAATTTTTCCCTGAAAATCAATGAAACAAATTCTAATCCTCCGCGATTTTTAATTGCATCTAGTATAATTGCCCTTAAATTAAGGGGAATTGTCTCTTACTTTTAGTTCACAAAATAAATGCACAAAAATATTTTTAAAATGTGTTATATTGAAATCTCGCGAGTGAAATTCTGGAATAAGTGATATTTCACTGATTTTAAAGAAAATTTCTCCTAAAGATCCGAGAAAAAATTCTTGTTTCAGTTGAATCAAAAGGCATTTTCTCTTATTTCAAGGGAAACTTGTCTCCGGAATTCCTAAATTTTTTATTCTCAAATAAAAAACGTTTTTGGTCTTAAATTGATGATTTTTCGTATACTAGAATAAATTTTCTCACACATGAACTCAATTAATGTTCAATTATCCCAGAATTTAATTTAATAAAAACCCATCATGCTTGATTTATAAATTTTCTTCTGTACGTAAACATAAGATGTTTTTCTAAAAAACACACCAAAATTTTGTAAAAATAATCGCAGAAAATCTGGAATTCTACATAAAAATTCCAGCATCACCTCCATGTTAAATAAATGAAACGTCCATTCCTCTCACGACCATGAATTTCCATATTTTTTATTCACGCCTCGAACCACGATGTGAAATTCATTGAAATTGAAGGATGGTTACACAAATGGCAGACGCAGAAAGGACAAGAGAAAATGAAAAAAAAAAAAATGGCTCGAGTACATTCGCATTGGTCCGTGGTTTCCATGGATGCCTGACGAGCCGAGGTAGAGGGATCGATCTCGCCGGCCTGGCTTCCGAGCATGCTCCAACACCCGTCACGATTCCCATGCTTTTGTTCACCACATTACTTTGTTTTTTTTATTTCGTTTATGTTAAATTAACCTGAATGTCACATTGACTTCTTTATTTCGACGCGAAATTGTTTGTGAATTATTTCTCGATATGTTTGGCCACCTCTGACGAATAAAAATGAAGAGTTTCAAGATGTTCAGGACCCTGAAAAAATTCTGCAGCCTCCAGGTTTGATCGAGTGGAAAATTTTAATTCAAAAAATTATAATCCCTTAATTTTCACGGTTAAGAGGAAGTTAAGAGAGCTTTTTTATTCTATTTCACCTCAGAGTTTACGAAATCTGCAGTTCCACACGTCTCCATTGACCCCCCAAACCTGGAGTCACTTTCAATTCCTGAAAACCACGAGAAATTCATCCCTGAAGGCTCCTGAGAAGATCCAGAAGCCCTCAGACCTTTGGAAAATCTCCGGAGTAGCTCCAGTCAACTCTCTCCCCCTAGGACCCTCCCTTCCCCCCAATTTAACGCCCCCGAAAGTATCGAGAAACCCTAGGAGTCATGTATTCTACTCCACTTGCTCGGACAAACCCCCGAAGAAGCCTGACTGCCCTCCAAAACCGAAGAAATGTCCAGAGGAGTCGCCGTGCAGTGAGAAATCCTACGAAAATTTCTGCCCAAATTCCAAGGATCAATCCTCCTGCAGCACTAACAAGCCCCAGTGCCCGGACAAGTGTCCAGAGCCCCCAAAGCCAAAGCCCAAGCCGTGCCCTCCACCAGAAGACAGATCTGTCTGTGTGAAACCCAAACCCAAGCCAAAGCCCTGTTCACAACCTGAGGACAGATCGATGTGCTCAAAGCCCCCAGCAAAACCGTCGGGATGTGGAGGAGGGAAGAAGCCACCCCCCTGCTCCAGGTCATACTCTTCATGTGCTGCTGAAGCCACTGATAAGACACGTGATATCACATTTGGTGAACGACAGCGTCAAAAAATCGCCGAGTTTTGCTCCAGAAGAAAACTAAATGGCAAAAAGGAGAATGAGATTGTCGGGAAAAATTGTGAAGAAGTGTGTGAGAAGGACGAGAGCACTGGCGACAGGGTGAAGAGGGAGAGGGAGGAGATGACAGAGTGTCTGAAGGAGAAAACTAAATTTTCGGAATTGGGGTACACGAGGGTTCACTGCAAGGAGTGCATCAGGGACATCATGTCGAGGGATGCCAAGAGATTTCTGAGGGAATTGGATCCATACGGTGGGGTCCTTCATCTGAAAGTTGGGAAGGTGTCCTCTAACCATGAGGAGAGGGCTCAGAAGAGGAAGAACAACTGGATTGAGTCGATATTGACTCAATAAAACAATTAAATAGAGTTTTAACCCTGAACATTGTCAATTGCATGAAGAAAAGATGATAAAAAATCGTGAAAATAATCACTCTGTGATGATGAATAAATGATAAATGGCTTTACATCACTCCAATAATCATTTCATTCTTTCAATCAGGAAGATTACATTCTGGAGATCATCAACTGCATGAACAAAAATTGAGAATCATCATTTTATGACCCACGTAAATAGGATTGGAAAAAATGGAAAAATTGTCTCTTCAGAAGAGGAATAGCCACTTGATTAAGTCGATATTTCCTCGCTAAAAAAATCACCTAAAATTTCAACTCCCTCAAAAACACGACCTACTTCACGCTAATCACCCCTAAATCATGATCGCTGCTCTCTCCACGTTCCAGAATCAACTTCCTTTTAATCACGATGAATATCACTCCACTAATTCCTTCATCCTTTCCCCTCTAAAAATAACATCACGAAAATCATCATTACGTGGCAATTAAAATCCCCCGACCACTTGTGCATATCCCCACCCCAAAAATCCGCAATCAATCACGCAATAAATCACCGAATACCCCCGAATAGAGACGTATCACTCCAATAATCCCTCCCTCTCCATTTACCAGTCATCAACATTTCAGTTAAGTTTCACGTCAGAGATCTCCCATTCAATTTCCTTTCCATCCTCAGCAATTTTTTTCTTTCCAACTCCTCATGACAATGATGAGGGGGCATTGCGCGGTTTCAACGTACACTAGTTCACCCTGGATAACACATTGAATTGAATAGAGTGAAAAACTGGTGGGGTCAGGGCGCAATTACGTGGCCATTCAGGCACACCATGAGGTCCTTTACGGGAATATAACCAAGGGGCTCCTGGAGTACCTGGCGCCTATGTTTCGTTTGAGGTGCCCCTCCATAGACTAGATGACAAGCATACACTCACTGCATGCCGCCACTTATGGGAACGTGATACGTGGTGCTTTTGCGACCGATGTTCTTTTATGGGTTTTTCTGTATATTCCCCACTCCAGTATTCCTCTCAGCCATTCTCTCCATTGTTGCGCAATGCTACTGCCACGCATCATCCCCCTCCATCTTCTTTATTTTTTATTATTCAGAACAATGGGAATCACGGTGTGTCCTGGATGTTCATCCTCTTCTGGTGTATTATTTGTTCTTTCGCTCAGGGAATTTTCTCGGGGAGGCGAGTGACGTGGAGATGACTTATTCCAACAGTTGTCAGGGTGGGACGACAAATTTTTTGGGAGGAAGGGGATGGTGGGGCATGAGGAGACACCATGCTGAGAGGAGTGAATCGTCTTTTGATCTGTCAGGATCATTTCGGGAGGTGGTCGTCGGTGCTGGGGACGGGGGTTTACGGTGGTGACAGCGATCGGTTGCCATCGACAATAGTATTGTTTTTGGTAATATTTTTATTGAAAATGTGGATTGGCTTGTTCGTGAGGGGCAGGGAGAAACTATTTTTCATTGCGATGTAAATGGGGAATTGAGAATTGAATGTGATTATAAAAGGGAAGGTAAATGTTGAGAGAATTTAATTCAACAAGAGCAATTTAATAATTTAGTAATTTAATACTTTAATAATTTAATAATTGAATAATCTAATAATTTAACAATTTTGCTCTGCGCGCGCAAAATTTCATTTTCCACACATTACGATGAAAAATAGGATTTGACACTTGTGAAAAAAGTGTGTTTTGACCCTTAGAGGGCAGCACTCGCCGAAGGCGAGTGCCACACACCCCCCACGGGTCAAAAAACACTTTTAAGTAGATTCGTATCGAAATATACTATTTCTTCATCCACCACTGCATTGATAGAAATTTTTTGAAATTTCAACAAAATTAATTCAATCAATTTCAATTAAATTATTAAAATATGATAGTAATTGTCATTGAATCGGATTTAGAGGAAAAATGGTTATGAAATTTCATGAGTATTCAGTGCGAGTGAGGTGGAAATTTCACACCTTGGTGGAATTTTCTGAATTGCCCTGAATTTTCCAGATTTTTCCGCATTTTTACAGAATAATTGAACTGAAAAATCAAGTATTTTATTGATTTCCAGATTATTTGAAGAGAAAATCAACGGAATATTTGATTTTTCAGCGACAAGATTGCTTGAAATTTCAGTGGAACTTGAATACGACAAAATTTTCCGGAATTTGACACAGAATATTCAGACAAAATTTTTAAACCCTGTAACATGAGAATGAAGAATTAATTTCGTTCTATTATCGATTAAACAACCAATCCCAATTCGCCTTTTTAGAAATGAATCCTTCATTCCACTCACGAAGACGACGTCTTCCAGCAGTTGTCAAGGGCCACACCAAAATTCTCATACCCTTCGGGAATACCGAAGCGTGGAGACACCACGCAGAGAGTAATGAATGGTCTTCAGTGCGGTATCACTCCCATTTCACAACCTCCTCATCACAATGATAAATGTCTCTCTCGGACAGTTGACACAGCTCGATGTTTTTCCGAGGGTATCCCCAAACTCCCCCCCCCCCCCCCCNCCCCAAACCCCCCCCCCCCCCAAATCGTCTATTGAATAACGAGTGTATCTGTGGGGACGTCATGCCGAGTGCTAACTAGTATGTTTTTGTCTATCAGTTACGACTACTTTTCGGAAGCCGTTTGAGGTTTTTTCTGTTGAAAGACAACCCAGCGGGAGATCCCTCGTACCCCCCAAGGATC